AAGCCTAAGCCTAAGCCTAAGCCTAAGCCTAAGCCTAAGCCTAAGCCTAAGCCTAAGCCTAAGCCTAAGCCTAAGCCTGGCCTAAGCCTAAGCCTAAGCCTAAGCCTAAGCCTAAGCCTAAGCCTAAGCCTAAGCCTAAGCCTAAGCCTAAGCCTAAGCCTAAGCCTAAGCCTAAGCCTAAGCCTAAGCCTAAGCCTAAGCCTAAGCCTAAGCCTAAGCCTAAGCCTAAGCCTAAGCTCCATATCAGATAGTTTGTTGGATCATCTAGTCATTAATGGATCTCTCATTTTTATTGACATGACAAAGAGTTAAAATTTTATACAGCAGCTTTTTCCGCTAGTTAGAAGACGACGTCGACGGACTGCGATCTTTTTTGATAGCCAATGGAACGATTCTGCTTCAACCGTTCCTCTTCTGACATGAATAAACGCTCCACCTAAGAATTATAATTTTCATTGATATTGCCTCTCTTTGTTGCACTTACTTCTTCAATCGAGCAATTCTTTGTCTCCGGCACTGCTATCACCACAAAAATAAGGGCAATTGCTGTCACACCCCCGTACAGCCAGAATGTACCTAAAATAACGGAGATTTGATCAAGCGCCATTCTTACGAACCATATTTGGTGAGTGCCTGTGAAAGTGAGAGGAATGTGAGAGAGATCAACAGATTGAAGGCCCAATTCGCAGCTGTGGCCATTGCCACACAAGTCGACCTGGCCCATAGCGGGTAGAATTCTGCGTTCAGTACCCACGGTAATGGGGCAAAACCTAAAAAAAGGTCAACGGATCTCTGTCCCCTGATCCCTGATCAGCACTTACCAATAGAGAAGAACCCTAAATACAGGATCATCAGGCCGATTGGCAGCATTGTCAGACCGGAACGGCAGAAAGACGGACTCCATTGATATGCTTGTCCTCGGCCATGCTCTGTCCCATTAATGCATGGACCCGTCAATGAACGATCGTCAGTATCCATTGAAAATGGCACGCAATAGCCTAAAGCTGCGAATTCCCGTAACCATGCGTCAAAACTAACCGGCATCAGCTGCCTTCGCCTTGCAAAAGCCACATCGCTCATCCGTCACGCAGTAGTCACAGTTACTGAAGAAATTTGGGTATGAACACTAATATTCTCACCTATACGCTTTGCAATGGGCAATATGATTGACAGGGGACGCTGTATAGTTGTTGATCACCAGATCGGATTCTCGATTTATCGCCAGAAAGGCGCCACCCATCGCCAGCAACGTGGCTCCCTGGATTTGCGAGGGTAAGTTAGGACTTCACAATTTTCTTGAAGTATATACAGGGTGTCCCAAAATTATCCGGACAAAACTGAAAACTGACTTTTTCAATTTTTCCGCTGTTTTCGGCCCTCGCATTGTATTTCATAATATTTTTTGAGGCATTTTCGATGCACCGTGCAAAAAAATTCTTGGAGAACGCAAATAGCTTCACAATCGAGCGAAGAGCGTGTTATAATTTTTCGCATCTTAAATAACATAAAAACTGGGGTAAGCTTTCAAAATGTGTTCAGACATTTTTGTGGGCTAAAAATGAAGTTTTCTGGCAAAACGGACCTAACTCCGCCAAGATTCCATCATGTTAATGGTCATTTTTCCGTTTAATACCGATCTCCCTCCCATTACTGGGCAAGGTGTTTCGATGCTTGCTCGTGCCCAAGCTCCTCAAAAATCAAAGTTTGCTTCATTTAAATCGCTTGTACATTATCGTTACCGTCAAAAGTTTATGCCTCTGGTCTTTGACAATAATCATATCGCGTTTTGAGGGTTCCTACAGGGCAAAGCCTTTAAGGTAACTGGGGCGGCGCCTTCCTGGATTTCAACGTTTTGGCTGGCTGTCTTTTTTTCTGGTGTAAACCTAGGGTTTTTGGGCCGACGAGAGTGTTGACTGATCATTTCCGAACTCTTCCTGTGGTTTCTTAGTTGGTCCGATCATGCTGAAGTTTTTTATGGGATCGGGAACAACGCGCTTTTTTAGCGTTTGCAAGGGGCAAGGAATTTCGTTCAACCTTCCTCGATTTGTGCCGAAGAGATATAATGGATTCGCGCGCAGTTTTCTTTTTCAGCTATTTAAATACACTTCAAAGATTCATAGAAATTAAATTATGGTCTGCGAAAACAGGGAAAAAAATAGGAAGAAACCGCTTTCAAACTTTGTCCGGATAATTTTGGGACACCCTGTAGACTGACCACGCCAAGCACCGAGGCGATCAGCAGCACCCGTCGACCACATCGATCCACCATATACAGTGGCAAAAATGTGCACAAAAAGTTGACGGCTGTCGATTGAGGATGGTCAAAAATCAATTGACTAACCAGAGATCGCAGCTGAAATCCATATTGTCGCGTGCTTGCTGCTGACGCCGGCTGATTGGATAATCTTTCCCGTGTAATACCTATAGGTTGTTGTTAAATTTAATTCAAGTTATCACTAACATGATGGTGTTGATTCCGGATAATTGTTGGAAGCCCTGTAATACACAGCCGACAAGTAGCGCCTTTCGCACGTGGGCTGTCGTGAAGATCCGCCATAGCAGGGCCATACCTAGGTATTGGCTGAAATTCGTGGCTGGAGGGGATGAGGTATCCGTTTTTGATGGCACTAACCAGTTTCTTGAGGGACAGTGCGTCCCCTTTCAGCGGCTAATGTCAGTTCGGCCACTTCGTATTCAATCCAAGCTTTGTCGCCGTTGTAAATTTTGTCTAGCACCTAAAATTCTTAAATTAATAAGTGTCCCTGGGGTTTTTTGCGTACGGGGTAAACAATCGTCGCTTGATTTTTTATGGCACCTTCGGTCTTTTCTTGGCTGATGGGCTTTGAGATTTTCACAATTAGGTGCTATTGGTTTTCGTTGGAAATTGACGAAAATACCTACACTTTTGGCATCTTCAATCCGGCCATGTTCATACAACCACCGAGGACTTTCTGGCATGCAAAAGAAGACGACAAATTGGATACCGGCCGGGATTGCCGCGAACCCGAACATCAACCTGAAAAAACCGTGGTGAAAAATCAAAACCAGCTACCTCCATCCGATAGAGGTGGGATCAATGTAGCTGAAGACGCCAGCGATCAGATTGGCTGCAAAAAGTCCGAAAGTGATGAGCAGCTGGAATCCGGTGATGAGTGTTCCACGGATGTGGGCCGGCGAAGACTCGCCCACATACAGCGGCACAATCATCGACGCAAACCCTGAAATCTCGCTTTTTACTTGGTACGTTTCAGGATTTCATAAATAATTATTTGGAGAAAAATGATTTTTGGAGATAACTGCCCGGCTAAAAACTCAAAGATAAACGACAAACCGATGGCTAGCCCGAGCAAAATGCGGCCGCCCGTCAGCATGATCTTTTCGACGGCAATCGCACAAACCAGGGCACCGACGGTAAAAACGAAGGAAGAACCGATGATCATCTACGATTTTGCCAGGGTATTCCGGGTTTTCACCAACCTTTTTCCTGCCAAAACGATCGGCCCCAGGGCCCGCTAATAATGACCCGACGGCAGCGAAACCTAGAAAAAAAGTTTGAATGGCGACAGATGGCAGGTTATGACTCGAACCTTGGTTTTGCGTCTTTTTCGTGGAGATACCTTGTTTAAAGTGTATGTACCTTGTGTTTTCAACTATCCCTGATGTCTGTATTACCTGGCGTAACAGAGATGATGACTTCTTGCCATGCATAAGACAATGGCTTCATTCCGCCGTTGGAAGGGACGAAAAGCATGGCAGAAGAGACAATGCCCGTGTCATAGCCGAACAAGAAGCCGCCTGGTCACCGATACTGGTTGAATCTCGGGCTAATGCTTACCGATTACGGCCGAGAAACAAAGCAGATAGACAAAGATGCCTAGTCGAGGACGATGAAGAGGTCGATCGAGCAGGGATTGATTTGTGGTAATCTGTAAAAAAGCTATTCTCATTTTTTACAGATTGGGTAATATTTCTTTGCCAAATTTAGCTTACCACACTCATTTGAACCATCTTGCTGGTTGTAGCTGTTTCTGTGACCCTAAATTTACCACTAAATTTGGTCCTCGGAGACTTTAGCAGCTAAAAGAGCGACCCAGGAACTCCAATAGCTTTCTTTATGCTAGATTATAGGAAGTTCTTTAAAAGCCTTTTTAGGAATTCGGCACGTGGCCAATTATCCCTGCGCACCATTTCGATCCAATTATTTCTCTGAAATGCTGCCCGGCCAATCAGCCCAGCTTCTTATTCACGCCAAAGGACCCAAAAAACAGCAGCAATTTGCTGTTCTTTCGATGAAGCGCAACATTCGAGAAATGCGGCATTAAAAGCCGAAGATCGAGCGGAAACAGTGAAAAGCATACGAGAAAGTGCGGTTCGCATTATCGGGGAACCAACTTTTTTATAAGGATTAAGTTTTTGAAATATAATAGTGGAATAAAGATTTCTTAGCCATTTTTACTATCCCAAGCGCAAAAACTTTATGACATTTCATTAAAATACAAACAATATAAATTTTTCGTCCAAAATTTCATCTAAAAATTTTTTTTCTAAGCTGCTTGTGTAGTTTTTCGACTTGAAATATAGTTAATTTACTGAAACACTATAAATATAATTACCGTGACCTTACCATGAATTTCTGGACTTACAGAAAAAATTGTTCCCCCCCCCCCCGGATATTACAAAAGCACTGAAAGTCCAAAAATTTGCAAGAATTGAGCGGGTCTCTGAAAAGACAGGAATTGAGGGGAATGGAAGAGCATCAGGTGTCCCAATTGGCCATGTTGCGACTTGAATAAATGATAATGAAAGGAGGGGGGGGGGGCAGTCTCCACTCTCGTCGCGTATCTCGTTACCCCCAACCACGTTCTCCCAATTACCGCTTTCTTCCAGAGGCAGGCAGGCTTTTAGAAAAAGATTTCTGGCTCTTTTCACGGTTCGGAAGCGGAAAGACCGGTGTTCTTATGTCTTTACAAAATACAGCGATTATTTTTGTCTCTTTTGGTCTCTTCTTTCCCGTTGAGGCTTTCTTAGACAATTTATTCGTATACGAATGAGTTTGTACAATTTTGCGGGGGGGGGGGGGGGGCATATTACGCTTTTCGGGGCTTTCAATTGTACACAGATCTGAATGATTAGAATAATGGTTTTTATGTGATAGTTATCGGGCAACCTCTAGGTAGACTAGCGAAAATCACACGATCAGAGAAGTATCCAGGGACGTAGCGTAATACAGGCCCCGGGGGCCCGGGGCCCCCCCCGAAATCGGCCAGGGCCCGAAAATTTCATAAGGGGGGACCCTTATGATTTTCATTTTCTCAAAAATTTTGCTGCCTGCGGCGCTATTTTTTCACATTTTTACGGCTATTTATAGAGCTATTGTAACCTTTTTTTCAAAAATTTTTGCCTGCGGCGCTGTTTTCTGGTTAATATTTTCAGTTTTTTGGAAAAATTTTTTGGGGGCCCCCCCCGAAATTTTTTTCTGGCTACGCCCCTGGAAGTATCTATTACATTTGCACTAGCAATTGGATGTCAAAAATGTTATATTATGGCTTTTTGAGCATAGATCGAGATAGTAAATGACAAAAATAATTATGCTTCCATATTGTCCTGCTCGGGTCGTTTCTCCTCCTCTTCCGGTTGCTCGTCCACTTCAGCCTCAGCCGCTGGGGGAGGATCAGCTACAGTAGACGTGGTGGGGACGGGATCTGGCGGATTTTGCGGGGGCATCTCCCGCTCGAGCTCTTTGATTCGGGCCTCGCGCTCTTTCTCCTTCTCAAGGGCTTCTTCCTCCATTCGCCGGATGCTGAAAGAATTCATGAAGGTGAGAAGTGAGCGTTTTTTTTAGTTTTTCAAGGTTCAAAAGTATGATATTTTACCTTGTTTTCCTAGCTAGATTTTACGCTTACCTAAACGGCGTCCGGACGTTGATGCTCACAATTCGCCCCGAGTCGTTGTCATCAAAATCCTAAACTTGATTTTCTACGTCTAGCTGGTATAACGCACCCGGAAGGTCACTTTCCTCCCAGTCGCCTTATCCTGGATCCACACTTCGATGCCGTCACTCTCCGAGAATTTCTAAAGCTTCGTATCGTTTCCTGAAATTGAAGTCAACCTTTGTCCGCAACCGCATCCGTTTCGTCCGCATCAATTCAGCACGCGTTGCGCACAGCGCCAAATATAGGCTCGTCGGGCGTAGATGCAATTTGTCGGCTTTCCATGTCACCTGAATTCGCGAGGGTGTATTCGGGCCACTTTTGGTACTGGGCTGTTAGCAGGGGACCGGCAGTGTGCACAATTTTTATTTTTTGCCTCTAAAATCTGTCAGTTATAGATAATCTTCTATTTTTTAGTTTTTAGTAGTTTTTTCTTTGGAACGTTAACAAAATTTTTTAAGGGGTTTAACAATGCGAAAATTTCGATATTTTTTGGCGGTTTTCCTACATTTTTGAAGTATTATGTCTAAAAACATTCTAGAATGCTAAAAATGGCCTAGATTTCATTCGAGGGTGATGCAAAATTATTGGAGAAAAAGTGGTTTTCTTCACTTTTTGCCCCCCCCCCCCCCGTTAACAATCCATTACTCTAGAATCTAGAGTCTAGATTTGCGGCATTTTTTTTTTTGTTTTTCGAAGCCTCTTTCTCCCTCGCTGCCGTGAAGCGAACTATACCAGTTTTTGTACTGAAATCCACCCACCATGATATCGCGGCTTTTCAAATGCAGTTGCTCAACGAAAGGGATCATTGCCTGCTCGGTGATTCGTCGGCATCGTATCAGGATCATTTTGCGCAGTAGAAGCGAGTGCTAAAAGTTTTATAGGTCGTGGTTGTCTCCCAATTTCGTATATTCTTATCCTCCCAACCCACCGTGTTCATATGCATCAGAAATTCGTTGCTCGCCTCGTCGCAGTTGATCAATTTCAGCTCGTGGACGCGGGGCCATGTTCCTGCCTGGAAATGGTCATATTATATTCACGATGATTTAAAAATACCATCAAATAGTTGTCAAAAAATGCAGGGTCATCAGCGAACGAGGCCTCAATCTTTGTGACGATGCTGAACAGGGCCGGCGAGGGCAGAATTCGTTTGAAGAACGAGCTGAAAATATTCAGAAATTACGCACAAAGTTGCTATAAAAATAAGGCCAGATCTATATAATAAATTTTTGATTTTATGTTGCTTCGATTTTTAGCGGTTCATTTAAAAACTGTATATCTTTCTCAAACTCCTATCTTACTTACGTGGGCTTTGGATAGTTGATAGGGGCTTTCGTTAGAAACGATAGATGCGTCCAAATATTCAACCGTTCGAGCAGCGGGGCCACCGTATTCAAATCACGCAACGCCTCGAGGTCGTTGATCATCGACAGCAATGCCATTTGGAGGGTGCTGAAATGGGCGGTGATAAACGATCGACTACTGTCGATTACCAGCAGACATTCGTGAAGACGTGCATCACTTCCGACAGCCGCCCATCGCATAATTCGAGTTTCAACCATTGCAGGCTTAGCGAGATACCCTCGAGTTCTTCAAGGGGACGGATACCTTCGTGGTCTTTCAACACGGCCGCTACGATCTCTTCAGCTGGAAATTTTACATATAGACGATTCACAATTTTTATATTTTGTCTTTCACAGGAGTTTTGGTGCTAAAAAGCTGATAGAATCGAATGAAAAATCACCAAAAAGCTCAACTCCCTAGGAATTAAAACCTACAGAAAATTATAAAAATACACTATATTTGATTAGGAAGCATAAATCGAAAAGGCCAGAGTCAGCTTTGTATACAAACCTTGCTCCCTCTCGGCCCTCTCCCTTTCTCGTTCTCTCTCCTCCATTCTCTGCCTCCATCCCATCCTCTCTGGCTCTCCCCCATCAACGATCGGGCGAAGCGACGGGAATTTGCAGAATTTCAACGCCTAATGTTTGAATTAAATGTTGATAATTCCAGAACTAACCAAAAATCGAAGATGCTCAAGTTTCTCTCGACTAATGAGACGAAGGAAACGAGCGAGGTCATCGATGGTGTTGAATCGAGCATGGGAGAAGCCAAGGAATTCGATCAAGGGCATCTGGAGGTAGGGTTCGATACGGAAGGTAGGAATACAACATACCTGATACAGCTTCTCGGCTACAGTAACCCATTGTGGAGGGTCGTGATGGGTGCCTCGATTCGAGAATTCGAATGTTGTCACGTTCGGTGGGAATTCGATTTGGGTTTCTGAAATTGATAGATTTAATTATTTTTTTAGACGCTACCTTTTAGATTGTCTAAATTTCTGTTATTTTTTGACAAGCCGAGAAAATCAGCGCGTTCTAGTGCGAAAAGCGCACTTTCAGATAGTTATGGGTAGCTAGGAGTAATATTATGTCGTTGACTTATTACATACCTCCACCAATATCAAAATTGTCCATAATAAGCGTGCGTAATCCGTTGAAAGCCGGCATCTGTGTCATCCGCACTCCATTCCACACATTTTGCCCATGCGGCCTCATCGTCAACGCGCCCAATTCTGGCAATTTCCGGTCCAGATAATCCAGGATTTGCTCCTGTAATTTTGTAGGTATTTTTTGTGTTAAAGCTAACGAACCGGTGCATATGGATAGACATCAACACAGCTCATCTTCATCTTCGAATCGGCTAGCTGATCTGAACAGTTTTTATTGATTTTCTTTGTATCAATTAATTACCAATCGCGCGCTGCCCGAATTCTGACGATTCATACCACACTTTGGCGGCACTGACGTTCTTGATGTATCGCAGGATATTGATCAGCTCATCGGGATTCTCGACGGTAATCACCCTAAAAATTACGAGATTTTTTACTCATTTTCGGCTCATAAAAGCTAGAGTGAACCAACTTTTGACGGGAAGAGTTGCGGCGCACCGAGTTGAGCCAGATGTGCTCCTCGAATATGTTGAGCACGTTCACCTCGGCCACTCCGCTGCTCTTCTCGACGATTAGATCACGGAAACGACGGTCAACCTAGGAGATCTTCATAACCGAATTTTTCCTGTGATTCCAGAAATGCCTATTAACGTGATATTATGTGTTTCAATTGTGTTGTTAATAAAATTTAGCTAAGTTTTAAGTGAAAAGCTATCTAAAAAAATCTGAAAACCCTGAAATTGAGACTTACCCTAGCAAGCGACGCCCTCTCGCGAAGGTCAAAATTGTCAAAGACACGCAACAACACTTCACTTGGGATAGAATCAAAGAAATGCGGCTTCATGGCACGGATCACTTCACTGAACACTTTGCACACCTGAAATTTCGTCATTTTTTTATTTTAGATGATACTTACTAATGATAGAGTGGCCGTTTGATCGGCGTAAGTGAAATTGGAGAATATTCGGGTGAGGACATCTCGAGGAAGTTGATCCATTGCCACAGTGCCTAGGGCTACGGCATCGATCTGCTCGCCTAGCACATTCACTTCCATCATTGTCGTTCCTTCTGTCTTAAGCGGCAATCGATAACATCTGCAAATCCTGTGATTTTTCAAGCCAGTCTTAGGGTTTTTTCGCAATATCGAGGGGAGGCCAACATTTTCTATGCCGCGACTTTTTCATATATAAATAAAGTAAGTGTTTCTAAACTATTAAACGTAAAAGCATTACAAATTTGTATCTTAAAAATTACAAGTATGTAATTCTGTCGACCAAAAATTGCTAGTTTACGATAAAATTTCGTCTAAAAATTTGTTCCAAGTTTTTTATATTGTTTTTCCACGTGAAATAGAGTTGAATTTCACTATGAACACTAATAAATGTTTACTATTTAGTTACTCACTGGCTGTCAGATATTAAGGAATGCGCTCATGAGAGGTGGGGGCGCTCCGTAGCGTTCCTAGGCCCGCGCGCACACTATGCTTGCCTACCGATCCATGATTTTTCGAGAGAGAGGCAAAGAAAGGGGCCAAAAAAAACTCACAAATTTTCAACTCCAAATGCCTATAACTTTTGAAAACGACGTTGTTGTGGGGAGTCCACCGATACGAAATATAGAGAAGGCTCTTGCGCACATTATGGGAGGGGTATTAAGGGTGATTTAGCGTGAAAATAAGGATTTATCTAGGATTTAAGCCGGAAAAATTGCGAAAATACGAGCTTTGTGCGCCGCGTTTTTCTTTGCGTTTAGCCGCATTCTTCCGGGTTTTTTGACCGATATTCATCGGAAAAGAATCGGCACTGTCAAATTGGGTACTTCTGCGGTCCTGGGAAGTAAAAAAGGTGCGGAATGAGAGATCCTAATAATTGAACAACTGAAGCTAGTCAAAGTTTTCAGCTTTGTACGGATGAAGGGGCTCGAAATCATTGAATTGTGGCTAATTTGGGCAGTACATGTCTTTGTTATTATGATATTCCTTTATTGAGCGAATCGGCACCATATGAGACAATTTATTCTTTAGAGCCCGGGAAATAGCAAAAATTTTTATTTTCCGCTTGGGCTTCTCTTTAGATCGGTTTTGGATCCCCTTCTGTACCTTTTGCAAAAAAGTGCAAAACCCTAATGGGCTTCTGTCGGTCAGAGGAACCGAACCAGCACCCTCTGCCTGGAGTTGCGACCGGCGCCTTAGACCACTAGGCCACGCCCTCCCCCACCCCCATGCGCGCCCTGACAGGCAGTGTACTAAGCATCTCTGGACTTGTAGGAAAAAGAGCCCCGCGTATTGCCAAAGCGCCATTCAGAGTTTTTAGGGTAGATTTTGCTTTAACAGCTATATATTTTAATGAATCAGGCCCATTTTTCGTACTAGGTACTCTATCACCAAATCCAAAATCCAAAAATTCGATTGTAAAGTGCAGAGGCAGTGGGTGGGTGGGGTGCCATTCATTTGCCCCAAGGGAGGGGCCACACATCTGCCAGTTGACCCCAGCATCCGTACGTTGCGAGTATCGGCGCGTAATATTGTCCCACATCCCCGGAAAGACCAACCCCAATCTATCTATCTATGTCTGTTCGTGTTTGTCTGTCTGTCTGTCTGTCCGTCTCTCTCTCTCTCTCTCTCTCTCGCTCTCTCTCTATCTGCCGTGATCAGGGATTGATTTGAGTCGTTGCAAAACAACACTCTCTGCCCGCCCCATTCTTCCCCCCTCCTGCCCCTAGCTGTCCATTTTCAACCTGCGGCGGTCCCTGTTTTTCCCAGGTTTGCCGGTTTTTTAGTGGTGTTGGGGGGGTCTGTGTGTACCCTGTGTACTGTCTGTCTGGGTGCATACGGCTAGATTCCCAAACAACAGCCCAAAGTTGTTTTTTAGCCCTAGAAATCTTGGATTTGATTGTTTGGAGCTGTGGGAACTGACCCTTGATCTCATTTGGTGTGTCTAAAATTCGTGAATTTGCTTGTTCAGCCTGGATTTTAGAATGTTTTAATTCTTTCGCATTATCGGGGGCTGACCTTTTTCCTATCAGTAGGTATGCCATTCCCTATTGGTTCAAAAATGGCTAGAAACGTGCGAAAATTGTGAAAGTGTTTTAATAGTGTTTTTCATAAAAAATTTTCGAACTAAAATTCTAAAAAATTTCAAATTTGGTTCGAAAACCTGCCTTTTCCGTCGAAAGATCTGTATTTTTGGAATTTTTGCAACAAAAAATGTTCATGTTTTTGTCTCATAATTGCGCAAACAGTTTTTCTATTTAAAATAGGAACACTAGAAATTCTATCTCGTAAGTCCCCCCCTCCGATGATGCCAAAGCAACCCTTGTTTTCAGTTTTCTAGAATTACGCTTTTTCAAACACAATTTTCTCAGAAGTAATGTAAAAAAAAATGAAATTTTAGTGCGGCCATTTCTAAGCCGTCTGACCATCTTCAGAATGACGGTCATCGACGCGGCAGACGCGAGCTTGGGCAATATTGAGCACTTCAAGCAGATGATGTACACGGTACGGCAGAAGATTCGATGCATTTTAGCATAAAAAAATGGCTTGTTTAGATGCAAGAAGCCCGTCGGAATATCGTGAAATCGATACTGGCTGAAGTGGCTGTGGAGGGCAGATTTGTTGAGGTAAGCTTTATGGTCTTATCGCATGAAAACTGTGTTTTTTTAATTAAGTAAGCTAATACGACGTATTTTCAGCTACTAGAAAAAACATTGACGCAGTTGACAGACGCGGAGACAGATGGATATCAGAGGAGAATGTCCACACAATTCGACACGTTCACTGTGAATATCAAGGACGAGATTGTCGGGTTGAAGGTATCGTGGATGCGGCAATATTAGGGCAATCGTTGCTTAAAGGGGGGCAAAAGGGGGTGGCATTACTTTTTTAGCTTTTAAAAAGCCATATTTTAAATGCTCGATTTCATTTGAGCTCAAAAAACTTGATTTACAACGATTTTTAATTAGCAAAACTGTTCATTATAATAAAGTGATGATAATCAAGTTTTTTTAGAAAGACCTGGAGCTCCTCGCGCTCACCAAAAATGGGCATTTCGACACGGGGAACGTGGAGGAGGTGTTGGCCAAATACCATCCGCTATCACGAACCGAATACGCGGATGAAGTGGCTTCATGTTGCAGGTATCGAGGGGAAAATATGCACTAAATGTCACGCTCCCTTTAATAAATCGACAAACCGGAACTATTGGCCGAAAAGCAAAAAGATCGCCCGGTGCGGGGATTGAACCAGGGCCTTGTGCCTATCAAGAGAGCACTTTACCATTTAGCCATCTTGGCGCGCGGGCAGGTTGTGCCTGAAAAACCATATATTTGATTTTCATTTTGCTAAAATTATATAAATTGCTGTTATAGGTAAAAATAAATCTTTATAGCTTCCTGGCGGAATACGTGGGCAGTGCAGCCGAAGAAAAAGAGGGCCGAAAACCGCTGTTTATCACGGATTGGGACGGGACGATGAAGGAGTACTGTACCCAATATGCCACCAATCTGCAGGTCCGTTGGTTTTTGTAGTTTGTATCGTGAAATCCAATAATTTTTAGCCGATCTACTCGGCGGTTTGTATGGCCCGTTTTGCAAAGACTTATACGAGATTGGCCGCCGTGTTGACTGCCGGTCCATTACGGTAGGATATTTTCAGTTTTTTAGGAAAAATTCTGCTTTTAGAGGACCCGGAATTCTCGATTTGACAGCACTTCCCATCGACGGGCCATTACTATTCAGCGGATCCTGGGGTAGGTACTCACTTTTTGAAGCTTGCGCAGTATCGGGGGGGGGGGGCAATATTTTACTCCTAACCTCTTAATTTTGTAGAATCTGGCTGTTTCGGCTAGTCTGTAAGTAAATAAATACAAAAATTCTAGAAGCTTTACACAAATTCAAAAATAAATTTTTGAGGTAGCTTTTCCGTTTTAAATATAGTGATCTGGCCTCATCCCCCCTGATAATGCCAAAGCTCTCCCTTCCCTATCGCTCTCTTTGCAGGTCGTGAATGGTGGGTAAATGGTCATCGTGTTGTGCATGATGAGGGAATATCGGATGAGGGTATCGATGCCCTCGAGAGAATGAAAGATGAAATGGGAACCCTCCTCCAATCGGGCGACTATTCTCAATTTGCACTGGTTGGGAGTGGTGTCCAGAGGAAGGTAGTGTAGTTGTCCTTATCCCAAGAGGAAATCGAATAATTCCAGGTGGACAGACTGACACTGGGTGTGCAGACAGTATGTGGCCATGTTCCTGTTGATTTGTCGGAAAGATATCAGGATGAAGTGAGGGAGAGGATGCATCGTGTCGATCCGTATAATCAGGTTCGTATTTGGCTGTACGTAGGCGTATTAAAAGGTACTCAAGTGGAGGTTTCGGCACGATACCTGCCGCTAGCACCCCTTAACGGCTCGTGCGTTGCGTATCGCGGTTTTGCCAAATACATAGAAAATCCATAGCAAATGAAATACTTTCCTCATCCCTTTAATAAATCGATACGTTCCAGATCCTTGTCTTTGACCCATCAACAGAATTAGAAGTGGAAGTGGTGGCCCATTCGTCGGGTACTGTATGGAATAAGGCCAATGGGGTATGATTTTGTGATTTATGAATTACCATTCCCTGACGTCCCAGTCCCTTTAATAGTGGTATCTTTAGGTGGCAAGTGTTGTGGAGATCAAGGGCGACAGTCTGAAGCCTCCGGGACGAGTATTGGTCTGTGGGGACACTATGTCTGATATTCCCATGGTCAAAAAGGTACACGAGGAGAATCCACAGGTTTGTGCAGATTTTAAGGGGAGTGTGACAGTAGAATAATCTAAAAAAGCTAGATACAATTTTTATGATGAAAATTACGAACTCTAAACCCCTAAAAGTAAAAAAATTGGTTTTGCAAAATTAAATTTTTAGGAATCCTTCTAAGTTTTAAAGCTTTTAAAAACGTTATTTTAGAAATTCCTACAGTCTTAAGTTACTGTAACTTAATAAGGTTAATAAAAATTG